AAAAACTTTAATATAAGTTTAACATAACAGCAAATGTACAAGTTTTTCTTCATTACCCATTCAAGCCGTCTCCAGCCATTATTAGAATTAGTCACTGTTGAGTTGATTTTCCATCAGTAAAAGAAATGCCTGGAAGAACTCTTGTTTTCTGATCCTTTATTTGAAAGAAAGTATTTCAAGTTGGTATTTAAACGTACATTTAGATTGGAGTAATTTTCTGAGAACACTTAGCTCAGAGTTTAACAGATTCCAATAATATATAAAAATATGAATATAAAGAGTTTTCAAATTAGTTTTTCACACATAACCGTAATAACTATAAGTTGTTTTTTATACAATTAGGCTACCGTTTTTGTGTTCGGTTAGAAATAATATTAGGCTTAATATTACACTTTTGTATAGTTAGGCTTAATGGTGCTTTCCCCTCCACCCTTTTTACAAACACATTATTCACTACTAGGATACTTTCAGTTATCAGTATTCCTTTGAAACAAAACAAAATTGTTTCTAGGGACTTTCAAAGCTATAATCACAAACCATACATTTGGCAGCTTTAATTTTGAAATTCAAAATGCTTGTCTGAGACATTTAGTCCAATATTACAATGTTGATTGTTTTATTATTTGCCGAAATAACCTCAGAGTAATCTTAATTTTCTAAGTTTTATAATCCGACTTCTAAAATAATTAAATTATTTCTTGTAAGTTCAGACGAGAAAGGGTGCTTATGTAATATTTTGAAAATACACTGTTAAGTCAAACAGTGAACATTAAAAACTAATTCTACTAAAATGGAGTAAGTGCCATATTGTTACATCGACTGTTGTTCTATTATTTATATGTTGTTACCATAGTTTGTATGAGGAAAAATTGAGTACTTTAAAACTGAGTGGACCATTTCACATAAGTTTTGATCGTAGTAGTACTAATATACTTAAAAGTGTAATTTATCTATTTTAGTTTTTATGTTTTATTAGTTTCAATAATCATAATATAGCTTTATTAGCTTTAACATTTTTACTTTTATGGTTAGGGAAAAAAGAAAAAACACTCACTCAATGTCTTGGTATGTAATTATTATTGTTGTTTTTCAGTTATGTCTTCAAAAGTGTTATTGTTTAATTTCATTATTATATTGAACTTACTGTATCTGGACTTCACAATATACCTGTTTAAATGTAATCCAGTAATTTCATGAATATTTTTTTTTATTTAATTTCCCACTGTAGATTTTAACCAAGATGGCCGTTCCGATAACATATCTTTCATGATCAAAAGAATAAAAGTCTACACTATAGATGATCTCAGAGATCCTCATTATCGCTTTCCGGGAAACTATGGGGTGGAAAAATTTCTGGAACTATTTTCCGAAGAGGATTACGATGCCTTTTGTCTGGCCTATATGTTTACTTATCGAGATTTTGAGGGAGGCACGTTGGGTTTAGCCTGGACCGGGGATCTCAAAAACGCCGGTGGAGTATGTGAAAAAAACGGGGTAAGTTACATTTTCTGAATAACAAAAAGTTTATTTAGAGAAATTTTAAATAAAAGAAATAGATTTTCATTTTATCTTTTCGTCACATAGCAACTCTAAACATATATAAAATCTCATTTACAAATTGTCAATAAAAGCTCTAACACAATGATATTATCTTTAAGAGACAATACTATCAGAAATTTAAAAAATGAAATATTTGTTTTTATATTTAAAAAAAAATTCATTTTTGATAAAATTTATAACTTGTTGCTTTGTTATGAAATATTTTTAAAACGAACATAATGTGCAAAACAAGACCTCAGTCTTTTTAAGCATTAAAATATTTCCTTTAGTAATTTCAATCTGAACAGCACCTTATACGACACATAAGACAAAAAAAAAAAAGGCTAGTAGCCTAAGGTTCAGGCATAATCCGCCTCTCGGCGCTCAGCGATAAGTCCGAGGGTTTATAATGCGATGGTCGGAGCACAGACAGCCATAGCTCATTGTATAGCAAACAAAAGGATATAGCCATAACTAATTTAAAACTACCAGTGGGAGGGTTACCATGGATGTAACTACCATCTAAACGGTTACTCTTAACCGAATGGCGGGATTGACTGTCACAGATTTAATGCCCTCACTGCTGAAAGTGCAGTGCGTATTCAGGGCATATCATGGCTCAAGCCTTAGACCTTTTGCTACACAATCCGTTACTCTAACCACTAGGCCACAGTGATGGTAATTTAGATAAATATGTTTGTGTACAAAAAACATCTTATATGAAATCATTCGCTAGAAAACCATATCATTAATGTAGCCTTTACACTCCAACTTGGTTTTATTAAAATTTGTGTTTCTAGCTTCATTTTCATAGAATGCATCTGAAATTTTTTTCGCTTTATTTTATATAGATCATATTCTCGTAAATCTTCCTAACTCATTTTTGTCTCTTCAATATACATGTAGTAACTTTTTATTTTTATTAAATCCGACAATTCTGGTAAC